TTTTGAACTGGGTTATTTGAGTCCACACTGCCATATATTCCAGTCCAAAGCAGAAAATATGGGATTCAGCTGTGTGGAAAGAGCTTCAGACAATCCTGGGCCCTTAAGGAGCTCCACTGGCTGCCAATTCAAGGTGCAGGTTTTAACCTACAAAGCCCTAAACGGTTTGGGACCCGCCTCCCTGCTCGACCGCATTTCCGAGTAGGAACTCACACAACCTCTTTGATCTTCCGGAGAGGCCCTTCTCTCGCTCCCACCTTCATCGCAAGAGTGACTTGTGGGGACGAGAGAGAGGGCCTTCTCTGTGGTGGCCCCTTGGCTCTGGAATTCGCTCCCCAGAGATATTAGGCAAGCCCCCACCCTGGAAATCTATAGGAGCCTGAAAACATGGCTGTTCCAATGTGCCTTCAATGACTGAATGTATGATAATGCCTGACCAAACTCTGCATAAAATGCCCTCAGAAGCACTTTATTCTCTGGTTTGTGCAATGAACTCCTACCTTATCCCCTGGATCCCCTTCCTGATATTTTACACTGCCCTGTCTCCCAGTGTTTTAAAATTTTAACCTTGAACTGGCCCTGTCCACTGTGATCATTTTGTGGTTTAATGTTTTGATTTTATATTGTTGTGCTGCGTATTTACATTGGTTTTGTATTTTATATTATTTTATCTTCTGTTGTGTTTTTGTGTTATATTGTGTTTTCTGCATTGATGAGTGTGGCCTCATGTAAGCTGCCCGAGTCCCCTTTGGGGAGATGGTGTCGGGGTATAAATAAAGATTATTATTATTATTATTATTTCACACAGCCATAAAACCCAGAACATCAAGGCAGAAAATCCCACAATATCTGCTTTAAAATGGGCTATCTTGATTCCACAACTCCTGCTAAAATGAGCCCTCCTCCGTAAATTACCTACTTCCCTCTTTTACCTCGCTCAAGTTTTTAATTAGTTTTAATCATTTTGTCTTTTTAATCACTACATGTAGCCCGCCCATTATTATTGTGCCTGTGCATATTTTTATATTGTTATGTATTCATATGTTTTATGTAACTATGATGTTATTGTTTATTGTTCGCGTTTTTGGTTTGTGTTTCTGGTTTTTCTTTATTGTAATTGTCATTKGGGCTTGGCCTCATGTAAGCCGYTCCGAGTCCCCATTGGGGAGATGGTGGCGGGGTATAAATAATAATAATAATAATAATAATAATAATAATCCGAGGGCCCTTCCACTGAGCCCTATATCTCAGAATATCAAGGCAGAAAAATCCCTATTTTGAACTGGGTTATCAGACTCCACACTCWGATAATGTGGGATTTTCTGCCTTGATTTTCTGGGATAAAGGGCTGTGTGGAAGGTCCCCCAGAAACTGGATTGYATAGCAATGCAGATGGGACCTCTTGGAAGTTTTAAAACTTCACGGTTCTATATAGCCTTTTCTGTCCCATAGCATTGAGCCAGGCCAGTTCAAGCAGGGTCAATCCTACAGTGTTAAAGAATACCCCCCCCCCCTTCTCACCAGGGCCAGGTGCAAAGGCTGGCGGGTCTTCTTCCATCCTCATGGCCCCCAGTTCAGCCATTCTGCTTCCTCCCCGCAGCAATGGGCCAAGATCCTTCCTGGGGACTTTCTCCAGCGCTTCGGCGGCCAAGTCTAGGGCTCTTACGGGATAACGCTGCAGGAGAAGCTCGGCCAGCCTGACCGCGGAGACCGGGTCCAGCTTCCCCTTCGGGATGGCGGGACCCAAGTGGAAGATGAAAGTGTCGAGCTCCTGCTTGGAAAGCTCCTCCAAGGTCCGCAGGAGCCGCTCCCGGTCATCCATCGGGCCCCGCTCTCCTTTCCTCGGCTTCTCAGCAGAACAGAGAGGAGACAAAAAGGCGCGCCTCTCAAACTGGCCCCTGCTTGTGTGACGTCCTTCCGCTCATTGGCTCCTTTCACTTTGGAAAGGGAAAAAGGAGGAGGAGATTGCAGAAGAGCGAGGAAAAGGCAACTTTAGTTCGCTTCATTTTGAACTACTAGTCCCCTGCCACGCGTTGCTGTGGCCCACATGGGGGTTCTGTGTGGGAGGTTTGGCCCAATTCTATCGTTGGTGGGGTTCAGAATGCTCTCTGATTGTAGGTGAACTATAAATCCCAGCAACTACAACTCCCAAAGGTCAAGATTCTATTTTCCCCAAACTCTGCCAGTGTTCACATTTAGGCATATTGAGTATTTGTGTAGAGTTTGGTCCAGATCCATCATTGTTTGAGTCCACAGTGATCTCTGGATGTAGATGAACTACAACTCCAAAACCAAAGGACACTGCCCACCAAATTCTCCAGTATTTTCTGTTGGTCATGGGAGTTCGGTGTGCCAAGTTTGGTTCAATTCCATCGTTGGTGAGGTTCAGAATGCTCTGTGATCGTAGGTGAACTATTAATCCCAGCAACTACAACTCCCAAATGTCAAGATTTTATTTCCCCCAAACTCCACCGGTGTTCACATTTGGGCATATTGAGTATTTGTGTAGAGTTTGGTCCAGATCCATCATTGTTTGAGTCCACAGTGATATCTGGATGTAGATGAACTACAACTCCAAAACCAAAGGACACTACCCACCAAACCAACCCTTCCAGTATTTTCTGTTGGTCATGGGAGAACTGTGTGCCAAGTTTGGTTCAATTCCATCATTGGTGGGGTTCAGAATGCTCTTTGATTGTAGGTGAACTATACATCCCAGCAACTACAACTCCCAAATGACAAAATCAATTTTTTTTGAGTGAAGGACATACATTGGGTTGTTAGGTGTCTTGTGTCCAAATTTGGTGTCAATTCATCCAGTGATTTTTGAGTTCTGTTAATCCCACAAACGAACATTACATTTTTATTTATATACTAGCTGTCCCCTGCCATGCGTTCTTGTGGCCCACATGGGGGTTCTGTGTGGGAGGTTTGGCCCAATTCTATCTTTGGTGAGGTTCAGAATGCTCTGTGATCGTAGGTGAACTATAAATCCCAGCAACTACAACTCCCAAATGTCAAGATTCTATTTTCCCCAAACTCCACCAGTGTTCACATTTGGGCATAGTGAGGATTCGTGCCAAGTTTGATCCAGATCCGTCATTGTTTGAGTCCACAGTGATCTCTGGATGTAGGTGAACTACAACTCCAAAACCAAAGGACACTGCCCACCAAACCCTTCCAGTATTTTCTGTTGGTCATGGGAGAACTGTGTGCCAAGTTTGGTTAAATTCCATAGTTGGCGGGGATCATTCTCTTTGATTGTAGGTGAACTATAAATTCCAGCAACTACAACTCCCAAATGACAAAATCATATTTTTTTAGTGAAGGACATACATTGGGTTGTTAGGTGCCTTGTGTCCAAATTTGGTGTCAATTCGCCCAGTGGTTTTTGAGTTCTGTTAATCCCACAAACGAACATTACATTTTTATTTATATAGATGGAGTCTATACCTCTGAGGAGTCTATACCTCACTACCTCTGAGGATGCTTGCCATAGATGCAGGCAAAACGTCAGGAGAGAATGCCTCCAGAACATTGCCATATAGCCCGAAAAAACCTACAACAACCCATAGATGGAGTCCTCCCTTGTGGTGAATGGGCTGCCCTTTGGATAACATAGGGCAGTAGTTCTCAACCTTCCCAATGCTGTGACCCCTTAATACAGTTCCTCATGTTGTGGAATTATCGAGGTATCTCCCTTCTAACCTCCGCTTGGAAAATCCTCGCAAGAATCCTTGCAAACTGCCTTCTATCTGATGGCTCGATCAGCTGTCGGAATGTAAGACACAAGTGAAAACCTATCTCTTTTAGCAGGCCTACCCACTCTATGTCTAACTTTTGTTTGTGTATTTTAATATGCGTTTTATGGAAATATCTTTTAGTATTTTAATAATCTTTTAATATGTAGATTCTATGGAGTGTTTTGAAATTATTATGTGTTTTGATTATGTGTTTCAGCAATGTTGTAACCTGCTTTAGGGCATGAGGAGAGGCAGGTAAGGAATACTATCATCATATCCTAGTAGACTGATACTTGGTAGTTGTGTGAAAGAATTCTGTATTCATGACGTAAAATGAAAGGAAGAGGAAATGAAGGATTGGTGTCACTTTCTTGCTTTCAAACTAGACTGAACAACATTTCCACAATTAGCAAGTACATATATGACCTTTAAAAATAAATTACAAGTATTCTTCTCTCCCTGACTGAGACTATGGCACAGGAGGAGAAGATTTACCAATGACCTGCAATAGAGTTCGTTCCCCTCCCAATCACGTTTCCTAGTCAGCTTAATATAGCAGAATGGCAGAGGTTTCTAAGAAATATTGAGGGATTCCTAAGAAGTAGGAACAAAATAATCTTCTCAACAGCAGAAGGAAAAATGCCAGGTGCTGAAGGTCTTTTTCAGTAATGGAGTGTCATGAGAGTGTCCTTGGAGAAGAACACCTGTTAGGCCAGACCCTGCTTCCCTGCAGCCTGCCAACACATAGTTCCAAAACTTCTATAATGCCAAATGCCAAATGCCAAAACTTCTTCCCCTGGAAGGACCAGCTCCCTGTTTTCCATACAGCAGAAACTGACTCCCTGCAAATGTATCATGACTCCAAAATGCACTCATTTCTCTTCCCTTGAGAAAGAAGCCCAAAATGTACAGAATTCTGCTTTCCCATTGCAGATGTGACACTCCATACACCATCTCCACAGAGCGTGGTGGGTGGGCCAGACTCCTCTGGTTTGCCACACTTGAGAATTATTAGATTGTGTCTTTTATAGGAATATTTTGCTGATGACATAAATAATTGTTCTGTTGAAATTATTGAATCTTCACTTCCTGACAGATGTTGATCTTCAGGTAACGAACCATTGTGTTCTGGGTTTGTCTTGAAAGAGCATTGCCTTTGACTAATGTAAACACAGATCATTTCCTCAAACGATAATCCGGTTTCTGGTCAGTAAATGTTGACAGAGGTAAACAGATGTAAACATTTCTCTTATCACATTGTCACAGTTCTTATCACAGTTTACTTTTCAGTTCTCATTAGCAACTTTTTAATTACAGTCTAGCAAGCCGGTAGTTAGTCATTGCAGCCTTAATCTCTTAGAACACTGTCTCAAAAATTATTAGATGTTATTCATTCATCTTTCATACAATTCCATTCATACCCACACATATTAAATCCACATTTATCAAATCTGCACATTATATTTCTTGTGACAGGAGCAGAGAGGAGCAATAACGTTTTGAAAGATCAGCCGGGAGTTGTTATGGCCTAGGAATAACAGGACCAAGTACGTGGGGTTACTCTTGTCCAGAATGTACTCTGAAAGAAAGAAGGAAAAACAACAAGAATAAGAGAGTGGAAGATCATTCAAGAGACAAATGGACATCTAGGAAGTCGAGTTAGATCTGGGTGCAGATAACAAGTTAAGCATATGTTTGGACTCCAAGAGGAGAGTATGAAAGACAAATTTCATGTGAAGGTGCTTTCACATGTTGTGGACTTCTGCTCCCAGAATCCCTTTCTAACAGTCTTTAAAGGTGAAGGTTATGGGTGTCACAGTCAACAACAGCATCAGGCTGGGGAAGGCTTCACTGTTATAGACAACAACATCCAAGAAGGTTATGAGTGTCTTGCCCATGGGCCACTCCAAAGGCAGTGCTGGGCTGTCCGAACTTGAAAGAGCAAGTTATTAATTGCTATTAAGATATGATGGTCACACAGAACATCACATAGAGACAGCATGCTACTGAATACTAGTTGCTGTTGAAGAACAGGAATGTAGGGCATCTTTAGCATTCTTATTTTGCTCCTGGGATATGTAAACAACAAGTGACTGCTTAGTTACCATGGGAAGCAGGATGCTCTAGCACAGGGGTCCTCAAACTTTTTAAAGAAAGGGCCAGGTCACAGTCCCTCAAACTGTTGGAGGGCCAGATTATAATTTGAAAAAAAATTGAATGAATCCCTATGTACACTGCACATACCTTATTTGTAGTGCAACCCCCCCTAAAAACAATACAATAATTAAAATGAAGAACAATTTTAACAAATATAAACTTATTAGTATTTCAATGGGAAGTGTGGGCCTGCTTTTGGCTGATGAGATAGAATTGTTGTTGTTGTTGCTGTTGTTGTGTGCTTTCAAGCTGCTTCAAACTTAGGTTGACCCTGAGCAAGGGCCGGGTAAATAACCTTGGAGGGCCATATCCGGCCCATGGGCCTTAGTTTGAGGACCCCTGCTCTAGCACATGAACCACCGGTCTGCTCCAGCAGGCCTTTATGTATACACTTCAGAGTCTTTAAAAATTATATATTCCCTGTAAGATTATAGACTCACTTAGTGAGGTGTGAATATGTTTTTTAAAAGTATTTTTCTGTAAAATGCAATGGAACTAATGGACTAATAATGGTAATGGTGTAGCAATAGCTATACTTCTATTAACGTTTTATTTATAGAATAAAATCCCTTTCACCAATTATGAATGATATAAACACCCAATATCTTCAGGAAATGGCTCCAAACAAGTGTACAATGTTCACAACTTACGTAGACCCATTCCTCTTGTACCTGATGTAATGCAAAACAACAATTTAGAGTTTAAGGAGAGTTTTCCACTTTGATTAAGTTGTGGAGGGGCAGTTACTTTGTTTCCTAAGTTAATACTTGAATTGGATTTTTAATTTATCATTCCTTATCATTGAAAGAAGCAAGGGGAACTGAAAATGGTATCCTTTTGAATATCTGCAGACTGGATATTCTACAATCTTGATGGTTTTTCAGCTTGTCTACATATCAACATCCATGTACTTTGGATTCAAGCAGCACTCATCAAGCCGACATTAGTTGCTTCTAGTCCCAAGAGGCGTTAGCTCCCACTGGCATTTACTAGAAGTGCTTCTCTCATTTACTGATATTTCTGAAATGTCCTGTTTGTGAGATCATACTGGAAGCACGTTAGTAGTACTGTTTGGTTGTGAGCTGATTTATCAATTTCCCTCATACAGAGTAGGAAACAATTGAATCATAATATAGGCTTGTAAGAGAAAAGAGCAGAAAATTTGTTGTACTTCTGTGAGTCAATATACTCACCTTCTGGACTGGACAGTGGATTCGTGCATACCATTCTAGGGATTGCATGGAGAACAGAAGTGCTACACCGAACAGAATACACATCCATAATATGATGTTTGATTTGGGCATTCCCAAGATCTCTATGAAGAAGATTGGTGGAAGATTAGTTGTGCTTAGTGGATTATGATGCACAAAAGGGATCTCTGGGTTTTGTGAGCTATCCCTGTTTTATAGTTCCTTTTGATTCCCATGTTCAGGAAATAGCACATTCCCTATTTCATGGGGCCCCGTGCATCACTAGTTAGAATGAAACTGATATTATTTGTTTTCAGAAAAGTCCTATCCTATGAGGAAAACAACAAGGAATACAAGTTTATTGATGAACAGTGTTGGGCAGACAGTAAGGCAGGAAGGGAGAATCTTTACGTTTAGACTGCAGCTCTTAAAATATTTTACCATTGGGCATTTAAACTGGAGTGGAAATCTAAAACATCTAGATAGAAGAGGACTAAGCATCTACAGTGAAGGCTGCCATTGGTTTTGTCATATGGATACATGCACACACATTGTACCCAAACATCGAGATGTACACATGCATTCCTCCTTGAGGCAGTCGGGCTTTATCCCTAGTGAATATATATGAGCCAAGCTAAAGAGTAGTTCTGACATACAGCCAACATTTTATAAAAGCGGTTATGGGATTGATATGACTGCCAGTGCTCAAAACTGACATAGCCAACAGTGCTTAAAAATTTAAGAATGCTTGCCTCACAATTTTGCTTAAACACACATAAATACTAAAGCAACCTTTAAAAAGTCCACAGGTGGACAACATGTCATGGTACTGCTTGAGGCTCCTGGCACCATTTTTGTGCTTCCAAAGTTTTCCAGAGAATGAAATATTTTTGCTTATTCCTTAAAAACCCCCCTCCCAAATGCACTCTAGGGTTGTGAAGGACATTTCCACCACTTTTGGACCCACGCCATATGCCCCTCAACAATTGTTTACATTTTTTTGCCTGAAATGTGCCCTAAGGATATGTGGTCTATTCTTCCCTCCACTCATTTTGCACTAGTGAGCCAATTTAGGACCAGAAGAGCTCATTTTGAAACCTGAAACTTTGCTCTCTGTTCTTTTCTTTTTGCATTCTATACATGACTACTCTCTCTTTTCCTTCACTGCAAAAAAATAATTTAGCAGAAGCCCTTCTTGTGGCAGATGCAGGAGAGAGGAGCCAATATTCAGAGCTAGATGATGACAACTTAACAAGCAGTTTGGGCATCTTTTTTCCGGTGTGACATGTGTTGGGGGACTATCATAAAAAGCAAGGTGAGTGAGCCAACTTTATTCCTCTATATTTTACATTTAGTTGTGAATGGATTTATAGTGAAAGAATATCATATAAAAAAAGATTTTGTAGTTGTCCTTTAGAAACCTCTAATTGTGTCTTATACATTTACAGGCATGGATTTAAAAACCCCAATACATTCAATGTTATGATTATTTCTGCTCTAATGGGTCTTTATAAAATGTTGTTGTTCATTCGTTCAGTCGTCTCCGACTCTTCGTGACCTCATGGACCAGCCCACGCCAGAGCTCCCTGTCAGCCGTTACCACCCCCAGCTCCTCAAGGTCAGTCAGTCACTTCAAGGATGCCATCCATCCATATTGCCCTTGGTCGGGCCCCTCTTCCTTTTTCCTTCCATTTTCCCCAGCATCATTGTCTCTCTAAGCTTTCCTTTCCTCATGATGTGGCCAAAGACTTCATCTTGGCCTCTACTATCCTTCCTCCAATGAGCAGTCGGGCTTTATTTCCTGGGGATGGACTGGTTGGATCTTCTCGCAGTCCAAGGCACTCTCAGAACTTCCTCCAACACCACAGCTCAAAAGCATCGATCTTCCTTCGCTCAGCCTTCCCTAAGGTCCAGCTCTCACATCCGTAGGTTACTACAGGGAATACCATGGCTTTGACTAGGCGGATCTTTGTTGCCAGTCTGATGTCTCTACTCTTTACTATTTTATCGAGATTGGACATTGCTCTCTTCCCAAGAAGTAAGCGTCTTCTGATTTCCTGGCCAGTCTGCATCTGCAGTAATCTTTGCACCTAGAAATACAAAGTCTGTCGGCCTCCACATTTTCTCCCTCTATTTTCCAGTTGTCAATCATTCTTGTTGCCATAATCTTGGTTTTTTTATGTTTAGCTGCAACCCAGCTTTTGCGCTTTCTTCTTTCACCTTGATTAGAAGGCTCCTCAGCTCCTCCTCGCTTTCGGCCATCAGAGAGGTGTCATCTGCATATCTGAGGTTGTTAATGTTTCTTCCAGCAATTTTCACCCCAGCTTTGCATTCATCCAGCCCCGCACATCGCATGATGTGTTCTGCATACAAGTTAAAAAGGTTGGGTGAGAGTATGCAGCCTTGCCGTACGCCTTTCCCAATCTTGAACCAGTCTGTTGTTCCGGGGTCAGTTCTTACTGTTGCTACTTGGTCCTTGTACAGATTCCTCAGGAGAGAGACAAGGTGGCTTGGGATGCCCATCCCACCAAGAACTTGCCACAATTTACTATGATCCACACAGTCAAAGGCTTTAGAATAGTCAATGAAGCAGAAATAGATGTTTTTCTGAAACTCCCTGCCTTTCTCCATTATCCAGCGGATATTGGCAATTTGGTCTCTCGTTCCTCTGCCTTTTCTAAACCCAGCTTGAACATCTGGCAACTCTCGCTCCAAGTATTGCTGGAGTCTTCCTTGCAGGATCTTGAGCATTACCTTACTGGCATGAGAAATAAGGGCCACTGTACGGAAGTTTGAGCAGTCTTTCGCATTTCCCTTTTTTGGTATGGGGATATAAGTTGATTTTTTCCAGTCTGATGGCCATTCTTGTGTTTTCCATATTTGCTGGCAAATGGCATGCCTCACCTTGACAGCATCATCTTTTAAGATTTTAAACAGTTCAGCTGGGATCCCGTCGTCTCCTGCTGCCTTGTTGTTAGCAATGCTTCTTAAGGCCCATTCAACCGCACTCCTCAGGATGTCTGGTTCTAATTCATTCACCACACCGTCAAAACTATCCTCAATATTATTATCCTTCCTATACAGATCTTCTGTATAGTCTCGCCACCTTCTCTTGATCTCTTCAGCTTAGAACCCTGCCATCTTTGTTTTTGATCATGTCCATTTTTGCCTGAAATTTACCTCTGATGTTTCTAATTTTCTGGAGAAAATCTCTTGTCCTTCCTATTCTGTTGTCTTCTTCCACTTCCATGCATTGCTTGTTTAAAAATAGTTCCTTATCTCTTCTGGCTAACCTCTGGAATTGCGCATTTAACTGGGCATATCTCCCCTTATCACTGTTTCCTTTTGCTTTCCTCCTTTCTTTGGCTACTTCCAGTGTCTCAGCAGACAACCATTTTGCCTTCTTGGTTTTCTTTTTCTTTGGAACGTACTTTGTTGCCGCCTCCTGAACAATGTCGCGGACTTCTGTCCATATTTCTTCTGGGACTCTGTTTACTAAATCTAGTCCTTCAAATCTGTTCTTCACTTCCACTGTATATTCGCTAGGAATGTTAGTGAGATCATATCTAACTGGTCTGTATATTTTCCCTGATCTCTTTAGTTTTATTCTAAATTGGGCAATAAGAAGTTCGTGATCTGAGCTACAGTCAGCCCCAGGTCTTGTTTTCACCGACTGGATGGATGTCCGCCACCTTTGGCTGCAAAGGATGTAGTCAATCTGATTTCGGTGTTGACCATCTGGTGAGGTCCATGTATAAAGCCGTCTTTTAGGTTGTTGGAAGAGAGTATTCGTTATACACAGCGAGTTTTCCTGGCAAAATTCTATCAGCCTGCGTCCCGCTTCATTTTGTTATCCCAGACCATGCTTGCCTGTGATCCCTGTTGTCATTTGACTTCCCACCTTGGCATTCCAGTCTCCTGTAATGAAAATAATGTCTCTTTTTGGTGTATTATCCAGTAGGTCCTGCAGATCCTCATAGAACTGATCTACTTCTGCTTCTTCAGCAGCTGTGGGTGGGGCGTATATTTGGATCACTGTAATGTTGAAAGGCTTTCCTTGCACTCGAATTGAGATCATTCTGTCATTTTTTGGGTTGTATCCAAGCACCGCTTTAGCGAATTTCTTATTAATTATGAAGGCTACTCCATTTCTTCGATGTTCCTCTTGTCCGCAGTAGTAGATCTGGTGGTCATCTGATGTGAAGTGGCCCATTCCAGTCCATTTCAGTTCGCTGACCCCCAGAATATCTATCTTTAGTCTTGACATCTCACCAATAACAACATCCAATTTGCCCTGGCTCATAGATCTTACATTCCAGGTTCCTATGGTGTGTTGATCTTTAGAGCATCGGATTCGTCGTTCACCTCCAGTACCGTCGGCCGCTAGCCTTCCTGTTGAGCTAGCTGCGTCATCACATCTGGGGCTAGTTGAACTTATCCTCTGCTCCTCCCCAGTAGCATTTTGGCCATCTTCTGACCTGGGAGTCCCATCTTCCAATGGCATACCAACATATCTCTGGTTGTACTGGTCCATTTAGTTTTCTTTATAAAATAATAAACTTTATAAAATAATAAACCTTTATTTGTATACTGCTCTATCTCCCCGAGGGGACTCAGGGCAGTTTCCAGCATGGTAAGCATTGCACTTAAGGCAGTACTGACCTGTTGAGATGACAATAAACCAGAATATGGACAGAAGCGGGTAGAAGAAGCCAAGACTCATCATGAAGACATATTCATGCAAAGCGCCTGAAACAATGAAGGTAGACAACACTGCCACAGTCCGGGCCTTTGATTTGAATATCTGGAAGGCATGAAGCACAGGTGAGCCACATGGTGGAATCATATAGCAAGCTTCTGAGCATTTGTTGAAGGAGGGTGAATCCATTCTGGAGTATGAAAGCATCTGAGCATCTGATGGAGTGTGAATCCTGATAATCCATTTCTAAATTGGAAATGGATTGTTAGGATTGAATAAACTGTGATCTGCCAAATGTTGTTGGATTCAGATGTCATTATTTCCTGATCATTTGACTACTTACATTGGATGGTGGGGCTTTAAGTAAAAAAAAAATCAGGCAAAGAATCTGGACAGACATGGATTTCCTATCCCTGCTATATGTGCCTGTCTCTGTCTTCTCTATTCACTCAATGAACTGGACTTCCTTTAAATCTGTTTTACCAAGACTTACTTACCCACAGAAGGTCCTGATAGATATAACAGTGCAGCCAATCATGTACTATCACATTCCAGTTCCGTAAGAATGCAGAGACAGATGTGGCATTCCACCAGTCCTGGGCAGGGTGAAAAGAATAAATAAAGGACAACTAGATTTCATAAGAGTAGATGGAGTGTTTTGCAGGCTTCAATTGCCATCTTCCCCAATCTATTTCTGCCTATGCTTAATTTTGTAACTCTAGGGAAGGAGATGCTCTCCAGTCTATATTATAAGTTTGGAGTTGTGACCTGTTCCTTTTAAAAATAGTGTTTGTCATCTAGATCTGTAGCCGGTTACTTGAGTCTGACATGCACCTTGTTTAGCTAAATGACAACTCTAAAATTGAGATGTGCATTAGATCTGATGGCCTATTAGAATCATGCAACGAAACCTGTTTGAGCTGTTGGGAAAGAGATCCCAGCTGGGGAGAGAGGCAGTGGGAGTTGGGAAAATGCTGGTAGAAAGGCCAGACGGAGGGGTGCAGCATCCACTAGCCTTTCCGTGGCCAGCATCTGTTTTCCACTAAGCCTGATGGAAAGGTGTGGCTTCCCATCAGCACTTTGGTGGTCAGCACCACCTCACATTACATTCAGTAGCAAATACTTTTTTTTGTACATTCAGTGATGTCTTATACTCAAGTAAATACGGTATATTTACTTGAGTCGCCTGAGGGCTGAGGAAAGCGGTATATAAATAAAGTAAATAAATATATTAGAAGAAATCTTTGGGTGGTTCTACACAAGCATTATCATGTATTTTTAACCCGTCTACAGGTCGGGGTGTCTGCAAAATGTATACTCCCAATGTGCACTGCAGCATGCAACAAGCCTGAAACAGCATATTAAAAAAAACCTGACTGGAAATTCCAGAATAAGTCATAAATTCTGCTGTAGTGTATATTCTATAAGAGTCAGTGTATATTCTATAAGAGTTAGATTCCGAGACCGAAAAATGTGGGGCAATCACTGGGACAGGGCTAGTGCTGACACAATTGAAAAATCCAGAATAAATAGCTTGCTGGGAGATACACAAACACCCCCCATCCCCACCCCACCATCAGCGAATCCCAACAGGCTCGGCAAGAAAAAACAATATTCCTGGCTTCGAATTGATCTGCAATCTGTGGAACTTTGTGGCTACCATCCCAGCCTGGAACAGGATCCTAAGGTCTTTGTATAGAGATGCCCCACAGAAACCGATTCACTTTAATCCACATCCTGACTTGGTTTATGTGGCTGTGTAGAACCACCCTCAGATAGGTATTAGTCACTTTATTTTCCAAGGAACTGTGAACACTTGCAAAATGCAAATGTCAGCATTTATATAAAGCCAAATATAATCCATGAGGCATATGCATGGGAATGGGGCATAAAACAGTCCAGCCCTTTCCCTGGACCCCCACCAAACCCCTGCAATTACCTTGTAGAAAGTGCGGTCAGCAAATCGCATCATTTCAGCAAAGGCATTAAACCAACAATGGAGAAAGGCATAACAAATCAGAATTTTCAAATATAATGCTGTGGGGACAGAAAATATATGTCATCACAGTTGCACCAATTGCACCAATTAAAGATATGTAAAAATGAGTAGGAAATATTTGAGGCTGCAACACTTGCCATAGCCTAAAGGCAAAATGGCCACACCATGAGGCAAAACCACAGAAGGCCACAGGTGGGATACCCACACCAGAAAAAGATGTAAACAATTGAATGAAGATTTATATTTGGAAGGGTGTGTGTGCGTGCGTGTCTTGCTTTGAGGCTGAAAAAAATACAACTTCCAGGAAAAGGCCACAAAAAAGGTGGAGGGAAGAGAAGGAAAGAAGGGGAATAAAGGAAAAGAGAAAGGAAGGAGGAAGGATTGAAAAAAAGACAGGAAAGAAAGAAGGGAAGATGAAGGAGGGAAAAGGAAGGAAGGAAGGAAGGAAGGAAGGAAGGAAGGAAGGAAGGAAGGAAGGAAAGAAAGAAAGAAAGAAAGAAAGAAAGAAATGGGGAGGTGTATGACGGAATAAGCAGATGAAGGAAGAAAAGAGTGAGGGACAAGGTTTATGAGGGAAAGGGAGACAGAAAAGAAAAAACACAAAGAAAATGCAAACAATGTGTGCTTACACGTCACTCTGAGACTGAGAGCTTTTGACTTCCAAGAAAAGTCCAGATCTGGTGTCATTTTGGTGGTCTGGTCATGAAAAGGTCCAGAATGTGGCAACACACACACGCACACAAAAGCCCTGAAAGCCATTTTAAAAGGCGAGATGATGACAAAGTTTGCACTGTGGCTGAGAGTGTGATTCAAGGTCAAAGGAATGTAACATCCTCAAGGCAACAATTTATGCTGCTTCTGAGTTCAAGAGTGTGACAACCATTTCTTAAGGACTAGTTTATGTACCCAGGGTTGCACAAGAATACATTTTGTAATGCTATTTATTCTCATTGTTAGCTTCACAATTTTAGCTTTACAATGGCAAAGTACCTACAATTCTAGGATCCATTCTGTTTTTAGAGATTTTTCTAAAGAAGAGGTGTGTGTGTGTGTGTGTGTGTGTGTGTGTGTGTTATAATTAAAGAAATGCGGCATATTTTGGAAAAACTAGCAAATAATTTGGTATTTTGGAAGGTTAGTTGGTTTATACAAAAATGTGGCTTACCTAGTCTGGCAAGACATGCAGATGAAATTTTGAGATTGTGAGAGGGACAATGTTGGTGGGAGCAGAAAAATTACTAAAGGGCTGATGGTTGTAGTTGAATACGAAGGCCAGGGTGAATAAGCTTCCATCTGAAAAATGCTACATCCCTGACTTTTTTCAGTTGATTACTTTGGCTCATCTTCATCATGCAAACAATGCCACTGCTTTGCCCACATACCGAACAATGTTGCACTGAAGACAATCAGCACAAAACTTCGGAAGGTGAGGGGCTGCTTATTCATGTTGCTGAAGATAGGAATTGTGAAGCACTTGAGGAGCATAGCTCCATAAAACAGGCAGATCAGGAACTGCATGAAAAAGGAAGAAAGCTCCATCAGTGTGTGGATGCATTTAAGATTAGCATGAAAATGAAGCCAAGTTCAACAGAGCCCTTTAAAAAATTCCAGCGGGGCTTGATGTAGCTGGATACTGTGATTGCTTTAATGTCCCACAATGCATCTCATATGGCATCCTTTTAGCTAAGACATTATGGACACTTTAAATGACGAGTAACAAATCGTACTTTTGGCCATGGGCCCTTCAAACTTAGGCTTTTGGTGTCTCTCACCTTAGCAAAGTTCTCGATGACATACCTCCATCGAACACAGGGGGTCCTGTGAATAGCACAAGGAGAATAGGAAGTATTAGATGATTTTTTTTTAATTTAAGGGATTTTTTTATGCAAGACTATTGAAGGGCTGGCATCCTGTATGGGAACCACAGTCCAGCCTCTGCAGTGTGCCAGGTTCAGACACAATAAACTCTGCATTCTGAGGATACATCTTCCCCTAATTCCCTTTTCTGATCATTGTGCTGGAATTGTGGATGTAAGAAGCCATATGTGCCTACAGGTATATGTGGAAAGAACTCACCTTGGATAGTTCTCCCTGTAGATCAAAGTAGGGCAGAAGAGAAAATACAGATAAGTAGAGAATGGAGGTAACTGCAGCTTCCCTGAAAGGGGACAGGAAAAAAGAGACCCCTGAGAAAGAAATAGACACGGGTCTCTATGGCATGCTGAGAAAAGTCATATCCTGAAACATGGCTTGGAAAACTATCATAAAACACCTCTTATAGAATTTCCCTCTTCTTCTCAACCATCATGGGTAGAAGAGCCCTGTTCTCATGTCACCTGGCATACCAAGAGTAAAGAAGGAAACCAGAATAAGAATAAGAACTGGAAACCAGATGGGATTCTTTCTTTCCTAAGAACCCCAGAGGGTCTCCAAATAAAGCTCACCATCAAGTGACCTGGCCTGAAGGATTGGAGACACAGTTTCCCGCAGGAAGGAATAGCTTTTCATCAGGAACCGGATCTAAACAAGAAGGGAAAGCAAATATTGATACAACGCATATCTGGGACGCCTTTTACACTGCCATATGAAATCCAGATTATCTGATTTGAATTGGATTATATGGCAGTATAGACACATATAATCCAGTTCAAAGCAGATAATGTGGATTATCTGAATTGATAATCTGGATTATATGGCAGTGTAGAATGGGCTTGGGACTTAGTGTTTAGGAGCTGCTGAGACAAGATCTGAATTGGGAACCAAAGCCACCATCTCCTTACTTAAGGGAGGAGTTTCACACTCATGTTCTTTTCTCAGGTTTAGCAGACAAGGTGATACTGCTCTCACTTGAGGCTCAGTACCGCCATTGTGGAAAATCAAAGACTGGCATTATACCTACCAGCTTTGCATGGAGTGGATGAAACAAGAACAAAATAAGTTTTCCCTTGAGTTGGTGAAGCCATTTGTTCTGATCTGGCTTTGAGTAGCTCTTGGCTCAGGTATAGATGCATCTGCTCTCCCCTCTGGTTCCTGCTTGCTTTGCAACTTTGGTCCCTATTTGCCAAAAGTAACAACTTCACGCAAAGCCAAACACCCATGACTGTGTCAATGTTGGGCCAGTATGAAATGTAAGCCAAGGAGCTCCCTAATTCTGTGAGTGGCAAGTAGGTACGTAGCTGTTCTCACATTGCTATTTTTAAACTCAGGGGATGCCTATCCCTTCTTTTCTGTATAAAGACAAGAAGGCAGTTTTCTGAAATGACTTCTACCCATGTAGAAAAATAAATATTACCGTCACTGACAATATTTTCAGTCTTCCTTGCACTATTCTTATATGTAAGGACTACATGCTTTTGACATCCAAACACAGAATTGCAGCTAAAATTACTTCTAATTTCATATCCTAATCTCACACCTGCTCGAAGGTAATGATGCAACAGGAGGCAGGCCCTAAAGGCTGTGAAATGAGAGTGTAGACAGGATAGAAGCCCAAAACAGTAGCATGGCCGATCAGCAACACCACTGCTCCAATGATTGTGAGGAAAGTGGACATCTGGAGTGTCTTCAAAAGGTTGACCCAGATTTGCAGGACTTGATAGGGCACCAATAAGGTGTAGAGGAACATGACGAGCCAAGGCAAGAATGTCATGTGTAGCCGTCCAAAAGCAAAGACCATCACTTCAAAATCAAGGAAAATGCTGTGAACGACAGAAAAGAAACTGTGAATACACAACAACGAAGACTAGGATAAAGTAGATTAACAGCAAGGCAGGGTCATTAGGCCCCTTCTACACTGCCATATAATCCAGATTATCAAATCATATAATCCAGATTATCTAATTGGATAATCCAGATTATCTAATTGGATAATCCAGATTATCAAAATGGATAATCCAGATTATCTGCTTTGAACTGCTTTGATATGAGTCTACACTGCCATTTGTGAATGTTTTAAAGAGCCTTAACGAAAGTCATAACTGGCACCCATGACTATTGTTCTCTGTACCGGCATATCAGCATACTCAATGTAGGAAAACTTTGCCTGCTCTCTACTTTCTTTACCTATCTAAACCACAGTTTACCAATATTTACAGTGGGAGCTGGGGGGTCCACCTGAAGCATCAGATTCTGGTCTGAATCCTTAGGCCAAATAGCTCACCAGTGGAAAAAAGACCATCCGACTCTCTTGGATGCTCCATAATTTTTCTTCCTCTGCTTCTCTACGGAGTACTTTTCTCCACTAGAGGGACACCTGTGCCAGGAACTGTGGTCAGATTTCTTTTAGAGAGGGTTCCTCGGGTGTGTATGTAAGCGGATCATGATTCTGGCATTCTTATAAAAGCTGAAGAATGCTTTGCATAAACTCCAGGAAAATAAATTATAATGGAGCCTCAATTTATTCAAACGGAATTGGGATGGGAAAATTTTCTTTTTGTGATATTCAAATGACAACAGCTATCTAGGGAACCCCTTGTGGCACAGCGGGTTAAACCACTGAGCTTCTGAACTTGCTGACTGGAAGGCTGGCAATTCAAATTCGGGGAGCAGGGTGAGCTTCCACTGTTAGCCCCAGCTTCTGCCAACCTAGCAGCTCAAAAACATGCAAATGTGAGTAGATCAATAGGTACTGCTCCTGCAGGAAGGTAACGGCACTCCATTTAGTGATGCCGGCAACATGACCTTGAAATGTCTATGGATAACTCCAGCTCATTGGCTTAGAAATGGAAATAAGCATCATGCCCCCCCCCCCCCCCCGAGTTGGACAAGACTAAACTTAATGTTAGGGGAAACCTTTACCTTTATCTGGGATGTTCTTTTCAATTGCAAAATGAAACATACTATAGCAGTGGAAGACATCTTTGCATCAGTGAGTAGGGGAGAAGGGCAAGCAGGCCATCTCTGTCAAAATGCAGAAGAAGGGTGCTTCCAGACAGCACTCAAATTTGTGCCAAAGTGGGTTTTTAAAAGTGGATTTGAGTCCCCACATCCACCCCCAAAATCCAGGCTTTCCCGTGTGTGTGTGTCCTCATGCCATCCTGGTAACTACTGGGGTGGTATGGAACACTTAGAAGCCCCTCCAAAATAAGCCCTTAAAATGTAAAACAACTTACCGGGTCACCATTAAGGTAAGAGTCCTCCAGGAACATAGCACGTAGAAGTGATGTGCCAGGAGATTGGGGGAGGGGGAGGAGAGTGAGGAGCAATCCCCCCCCCCCCCAGCACGTTGCACTTGGAGGACTCCAGCAGTACCTTAATGGCGGTCTGGTACGTTGTTTTGCATTTTAAGGGCTTATTTTGGGGGAAGGGTTGGGTGCCATCTCACATCTTTGGGATCCAGGAGCCCAAAAGGTTTGAGATGGCTATGTGGACTGACTCCTCGGGTAGTTCCAGGACTACCCAGTAGTAAGCCCTCACAGGTCCAATACCCCATTAGACCCAGGCCGTTCATGAAGGGGTATTTAATTAATTCAGGACAAAGCAGGGTTTATCTGCTTTGTCCCAAATTAATTTGGAGAGTAGGATGTATTTCCCTTTATTAAAAGATACAATTACTGATTAGTCTGGCAGACAAACAAAGCTTAAGAGGTGGGGTAGAAATATTTTTCTTTGTATTAACTGGGGTAACAAATTATTTTAGGCTGGCCCTGAGCCAGGAAGAGGAAGCTGGAAAAATCCCAATGTCACTTTGGGATACAGGAGCCCCCGGTGGTGCAGTGGGTAAAATCCCTGTGCCGGCAGGACTGAAGACCGACAGGTCACAGGTTCAAATCCGGGGAGAGGCGGATGAGCTCCCTTTATCAGCTCCAACTCCTCATGCGGGGACATGAGAGAAGCCTCCCACAAGGATGATAAAAACATCAAATCATCTGGGCGTCCCCTGGGCAACGTCCTTGCAGACGGCCAATTCTCTCACACCAGAAGCGACTTGCAGTTTCTCAAGTCACTCCTGACATGACAAAAAAAACCCAACTTTGGGATACGAGGCTTTTGGACGCAGTGTTCTCATGCGAGCGCCTCTCTCCCACAGTTTTATAGTAGGTTTGTTGGCCCTAGTAAAGGAATTACATCACTGTGGTGTTTGAACTCTTTCCTTGTTGAGCAACATGGCTATTTTATAAAAAAAAATATTGTTTCGGGTTTTTTTAATCATTTGAAGAATATCCAGTCCTCTCTTCCTCTGACAGGCTATTTTGGAATGCTTAAGCATGTAATGCAAGAAGGTTCTCAGGCTCACTCATGAACCATACCGTCCTGTATCGATGAAATCCACAAGGACTGCCCTAAGAACGAAGATACAGAGTACTGCCACAAATACGTTGTAGATGGTGCGGAAATGTTGCACTTCCAGAAGCTCACTGGAAAAGAGAAACAAATACCAGGGTTAATTCTGAGTGGGTAAGTGCTTATGTGGGAGATTCAATATTAAATAATTGAGTTTAGTCCTGTGGCTCCCTGACATCAGCTGTGAATCCAGATAATATACTGTATATTAAGGCTGATGGCCTGGAATTGTAAGGATGGAACAACAGAATCCAACATCATACAAGAATATGGTCTAGGATTGAGAAGTAAGGGGAGAGTTTTGTAACACATTGGATAACAAAAGAGACGACTGTGTACATGGGTGTCTTGGCCAATAAAGAATTCAAATAGACTACATAATTGGAAGCAGAATATGGTAGTCTTCACTTTGTTGAGGGCCATGCTCCCTCTGGTAGAGAAGGCCAAAGGCCTTGTAAAACCATTAAGCCATACTAGTTAAAGTGGTGTCGCACTGCATCAGTTCTATAGTGTCCATGTATCCATACTGCTTTTTAAAAAGAGATCCATTGGATAATGCAACAACGTTAAGAAATGTTCCATGTGCTTGCAAATCATCTATACTGGAATAAAAATAACTTGCCCAGAGTTATCTGGAAAGTCTCTAGAGCTCCAGAGACATTCATTTCATACAGTGTCCCTCTTATTTTTTATCTTTATCTGTTAGGTCTGGGAAAGAGAGAAAAATATACTTACTCAAACAATGACTTGCTTTCAGTAAAGACTTTCCGTTTCTGCAGAAATGGGATCATCTTTCTGTGGGATTTCAAGATAGGTATTAGTAATAATACTCTGATTTTCTTCTTGCCCTAATGGTATGGTATTTGTTGTCATTCAAGTGGGTGTATCAGACACCTACCCTGTTCATGAAAGACTAGCTACCTGCCTCCGTGAACTTATTCAATTCAATTTAGTTTTCATTAGACTTCCTATGTGACTTTAAGAACTGGTGCCTTACTTTGCTTCCTTTCTTCTTTTGTTCCCAGGCTGTTTCTTTCTGTGTTTTGTGTATATATTTTGCATGCTAAGCTTGTAGGTAAGGAATACTTAAGAGTGTCCTAACTTCAGAGCATATTGTGTTAAGAGCTTTCACTTAGCCCAGGTTCCACTTTGACATAAGAGCAGAGATTTGAGTTAAGAGGGAGCGCTCGTGTGGGAGTACAGGGCTTTAGGGCCTCCGTGCCTCATGCTCTTGTCTACTTTGGAAAATTGCTGCCTGCATTGCTTTTGTCTGCTGTGAGGAACTTTGGGTTATTTGATTTTGTGTGGGGTTTTTTATTCCTGGTATGTTTGGTTTCATGAAGAGAGAGAGGGAAAGAGCAAGGGAGGGAGGAAGACTGAAATGCAGGCCTGTAGCCGGGAAAGGGGGGGGGTT